CTCAAAATGGATAAAATACTTAAATGTGACTCATGAATCTATAAAAATTCTAGAAGAAAATGTAGGCAACAAAATTTCAGACATCACACACAGCAGAATTTTCACTGATGCATCACCTAAGGCAATAGAAACAAAGGAGAAAATGAACACATGGGACTACATCAAACTCAAAAGCTTCTGCACAGCAAAAGAAACAACCATCAAAATGGAAAGGCAACCCACTGTATGGGAGAGCATAATTGCCAATTATACATCGGATAAGGAGTTAATTTCCAAAATATATAGAGTATTCATACAACTCCACAAAAGGAAGACAAAGAACCCAATTAAAAAATGGGCAGAGAAGCTAAATAGATACCTCTCCAAACAGAACATACAAATGGCCAAGAGACATGAAGAAATTCTCAACATCACTAATCACCAGAGAGATGCAAATTAAAACAACAATGAAGTATCACCTCACATCTGTCAGAATGGCCATCATCAACAAATCACCAAAGACAAGTGTTGGCAAGGGTGTGGAGAAAAGGGGACTCTAGTACACTGCTGGTGGGAATGCAGACTGGTGCAGCCACTATGGAAAACAATATGCTATTACCTCAAAAAATTAAAAATTGAATTGCCATTTGACCCAGTGATCCCACTTCTAGGAATATACCTTAAGAAGCCTGAAACACCAATCAGAAAGAATATATGTACCCCCATGTTCATAGCAGCACTATTTACAATAGCTAAGATCTGGAAACAGCCCAAGTATCCATCAGTAAACGAATGGATAAAAAAGCAGTGGTACATATACACAATGGAGTACTACACAGCTGTAGGAAAGAAAGATCTCTTATTCTTTGAGACAACATGGAGGGACTTGGAGAGTACTATCCTAAACAAAACAAGCCAAGCAGAGAAAGACAAATATCACATGATCTCACTTATTTGTGGAATATAATGAACATAACAGTCTGAGGAACAGGGTAGACCCAGAGATGTGGAAGTAGGGTACAGACTGACAACCCTCAGAAGAGGGTGTGGTGGGGGGAGGGAAGAGATAAACCACAGAACTTATATGCATGTATGCATAACCGATGGACACATGGACAACAAAGCTGGGGATGGGGTGGGAGGGATGGGGGGGATGGTGTCAATGGGGAAAAAAAGGAGAAACATCTGTAACAAAAATAAATTAATAATTTTAAAAAAGAGCAATAACTACATCTTGTAGCTTCTAAATCAGCTTTTAGGGCTGCAGAGCACTTTGTGGAGCGGGTGACAGGAAGCAGGGTCTGCCTAAACAGAAGGAAAGGAAATGGTCTTCCCTGCTTGTCTTCCACACTGTTTATGTAAAAATATTCTGCCCTCTGAGATGTTTTGACTTTTGGTATCCTCCTCCTAGGCAAGCCGGAAACCCTGCGAGTTAACATCTTTACTCTTTGTTTCTAAGCAATGACTGAAAGTCAGCATAAGAAAAGGACTTTTTAATTAAAGAGAGCAGAGCAAGAAATAGAACCTCAATTTTATCTGTTTCCCACATCACCTCCCAGGCAGGAATGCGCACACTTGAAGTTACCTGGTTTTCCCCAGTTTATAAAGCATGGGCCTAATTAAAAGTCCCTTAAGATTTCTGTACCCTTTGCCAAATTACTTCCTCTCATAAAGATCTTCCTTGGACCCCCAAAAGTTTAAGTTTAAGAAGTAATTATAATATAAAAGTCCACTGAATTCCTAACAATCTCAACAGCAGTATATTCTTTTATTGTAATTATTCTAACTGCAGAAAGAACTCTGCAGTTAGAAAAAAAAATCACAATACTTTTATTCTATATTACCAATGAATTTATTTTGCATTAAATTCATTTTCATGCAAAGCATGCATAGTTAATGATTTTAGTGATGTCTTGAGGAGTTAGACTACAACTCCTTAACAAGAGTAACTACATAAATTATTTGGAACTCTTCTGTTAAGGAGACTTGCCCCTTATCCCCCTTTATTCATTTCTTCGATATTTATTAATATCAGTATGATATCAGTATAAGCTCATTGATATTTATTTTACACTTTGGGTTATAATTTCATACTACTTTATTTTGTTGCTCAAATAGTCCCAGCTTGGGTCATTGTGGCCTTACATGTACTTGGCAGAAGAAAAGAAAACAAACAAAAAAGACAAAACCAAGGGTGCAGGTGTTGTGTTGGGTTCTTTCCCCACTTTAAATTTATTTTGAGTGGTAGCCAGTTTCCAAAGTCCATGTACCCTACAGGGATATCAGTGTTGGCTCTCTAACAAGATTTCCTTTTTAAAAAAACTAAAATTTATTATTATTTTTTCTTTATTGATTTTAGAGAGAGAGGAGCGGAGAGGGAGAGAGAGATAGAAACATTAATGAGAGAGGAGAATATCAATTGGTCGCCTCCAGCATGCTCCCCCCCCCCCCCCCCCAGGATTTGGCCCACAACCTGGGCATATGCCCTGACCGGGAATCGAACTGGTGACCTCTTGGTGTGTGGGTCGATGCTCAAACACTGAGCCACACCAGCCGGGCAAAACCACAGTTTTTAATCTGAAAATGAAGATCGTGCCTGTTTACAGGACTGAGGTGAGGAGTACATGGATAGTTTATAATAATATGGGACAGATAAGTCCAGTTATTTGTAGTACCTGAAACAGTCCAGTCCAGAGAGATGGAAAGTAGAAAGCTGGCTATCAGGGGCAGAGGGCAGGAGGGATGGGGAGTTAGTGCTTAATGGATGCAGAATTTCAAAAGTTCTGGAAATGGATGGTGGTGATGGTTGCAAAACAACGCAGGTATAGTTAATGCCACTGAGTTGTATTTGAAAATGGTCAATTTTATGTTAAGTGTATTTTACCACAATAAAAAAGAAATATGTACTTATTGTTGAAAATATAGAAAACTTTTTTTTTTTTTTTTTTTGCTTTAAATTCTTCGTTATCCCAGTACTCAGTGGCCATTTGACAAATGTATATCCTCTGTATACCTTTTGGATCCTACACATACAATTTTGTTCTTTTAACATATCATGAATATTTTCTCATGCTGTTCAACACTCAGTAAACTTTTTTTTTTTTTTTAAGCTAGAGTGAAAGGGAGGTAGGGACAGAGAGAGAAACATCAATGCGAGAGTGACATGGATTGGTTGCCTCCCACATGAACCCAACAGGGACCAAGGATCTAACCAGCAACCCAGGTACATGTCCTTGACCCTTGATGGGGAATGGAACCTGAGACCCTTCAGTCAAGGGGCATTGCTCTAACTGCTGAGCCAGACAGGTCTGGGCCTCACTAAACATTTTTATTTGCTGCATGATATTCCACCATTATTTGTTTACTCATTGCCATATTTTTAGATGAATTTTTCAATAATATAAATAACACCATAATGAACACCTCTCTGTGATTAAATACATCTTGTTCCCATTTCAAAATACATCTGTTGGGTTATAATTTTTAGTATAGACAGGGAAGTAGAGTTACTGGGTCAAGAAGTAACCATTTTTAAGTTGCCATACCTTCCCAGAAAGGTATGCTGATTACATTGTCACCAGCTACCTAAAAGACACTCATTTTTAGGTCACGCATACCCGGTTGCCCACTCTTCCTTTAAAAAAATATTTTCTACCTTGGTAGATTAAATAGGGTATCTAATTGCTGCAATGTTGTCTTTTTGTGTGTGTGTGTGTGTGTGTTTCTATTGATTTTTTTATAGAGGGAAATGGAAACGTTGATGTGAGAAACATGATAGGTTGCCTCCTGCATGCTCCCCACCCAGGATCCAGCCCGCAACAGGACCATGTGCCCTGACCTGGAATGAATCAGGACCTCTCAGTTCTCATGGGACAGCTGTTCAATCCACTGAGCCACACCAATCGGGCCTCTTCTTTGCCTTTAATTAGGCTTAAGTATTGTCCAAATCTGTTGCTCTTCAAAGAAACAGTGGAAACATTTAAATGTTTGAAGTTCTTTGATTTTTTTTAACCCATTAATTTAAATTACATCAAGTGAGTTCCAGTTAGCGATCGCAGGGTCGGTGGGGAGCTGCGGAGCTTGGAGCTAGGGTCGCGGGCCCGACCAGCAACCGGCGGCGTCCTGTCGCCCAGCCCTACTGACCCACCAGCGCTGAGCCCACCTGACGCTGCGCCTTGACACCCCATTAGGGCCCTGCAGCCGGGGGAGTGTCCCCCGGTGCTAAACCGGGAGGGGGGCTACACCAAGGAAAACCCCACCCCATGAAGAGCCAGTCTTTCCCAAGGCGCTTATGGGTGGGAAGGGTGCTCTGCTCATCTCGCTCTCCTCTCTGCGGCCCTCCTCCACCCAGTTAGAGCATCACCGCGGGGCGTCCCAGGCATCCGCGGGCCACGCCGAACACAGGGCAGGTCCACGCGGTCTCGAGGCTTCTGTAGTCGCCCTCAAAGCCGCTTTAAAGTGGTGGACGTGAGATTCCCCTAAATCTGGGGACCAGGATGCTCGAGTAGGAACCAGAACCCCGAGGACCGCGGGGAACCTCAAAGGGGTGGGAAGAAGCCAATGACCCTCCTTTTTCATACCTGGCGAAGGAGGACCTTCGGCGACCACCAGCCACCCCCAACCCCGGGGGGAGGGTCCCTGACGGAAACGCCCACGGCCCCGCCCACGTGTCCTCCTTCCTCGGCTTCCCGTGTCACTTCCCGCCGTCCCCTCCCTCAGTTTCCTCGTCCCCGCCCTTGGCGACCCTCCCCGGGTTTCCTTTCTCCCCTCCCCACGCTTGCTCCGGGCTTCCCGAGCCCCCTCCTTGGTATCCCCCACCCCACCCCCGTCTGGCCGCGCGCTTCCTCCGGGAGCTTTTCTCGTCCCCTCCCCGAGCATCTCCCGTGCCCTCCCCGCCCCCCGGGTTTCCCGAGTACCCTCCCCTCCCCGCCCCCGTTTTTAAACCTGGCGCCCTCGCTCGAGCGGTTACGGCGCGGCCGAGTCGCTGGCGCCGCTGGAGGGGCGCGGGCTCCGCGGGCACCATGAAACCCGAGGCAGCTGCTGGAGCCCGGGAGGCGCGGGGTCGCGTCTGTCACTGCCCCGCGGACGGTCCCCGGAGGTCACCGTCGCCGCGCGGGCCCGAGAGGTGAGGGCGGCTCCGCGGCCCGCTTGGGCGCGAGAGAGGAGCGCGGCGCGTGGTGCTGGGAGCCGAACGCTCCGGCGCCGAGTCCCCGAATCCCACCGCGACGCCAGGCGAGTTCCTTGGCCGGAGGCTGGGACGCAGTCTTGGTTCCAGCGCACAGGTCTGAAGTGCGAAGGTCCAGGAGGTTTCCGCAAGGAAATGGGCCAACGCTTCCGTTTCTAGATCTGAAATTCACCCGACTGGGAACGTTGATGTCTCCGGGCCCCTCAACGAGCCTTGCAGGGTGGCCCCCTCACGCTGACTGTCAGTCTTGGTGACAGTCTTTGTTTGCGCTGTGTTTGGGGCTCGACGATTGCTGCCCGGTGCACCAGCTCTTTTCAAGGTCGTAAAGATGAAGGAAATCCAATTAGCCGGGAAAGTGTGGAAGAGGCTGGGTGGCCAGGCAGCCTTTGTGCATCGTCGAACTCTGCAGAACCCTTCAGGTGGTGCGGTTGGAATTAATGAGCCACAAAGTAGCCAGCTACAGGAGGGAATCTGAATGGAAGAGTCCAGTCAGGCTTGGAGAAAAAAAAAAACTTCAACTACTATGTCCCCTGATAAATTGTATCAGATTTGGGACTTCTCAAAGCCCAGTGATGGCAGAGAATTGGGAATGTGGCAGGAGGCAAAAAACACACTTGGCATGGTGTCCCCACAGACTGAACGTGAGAAGACATTCTCCGGTGTCCAGTGACTCCTTTTCAGGCACACAGTAGAAATGATAAGAATGATAACTCCTATGACATAATTTTCAAAGACAGCAGATGATGGTGGGGTTCACTCCTGGTCTCTTCCATTCCAGCCCCACACCCTGGAGACCTTGGATCCTGACACCCCAAGATGCCGAGCGGACCAGAACTGCAAGCGGGGTAAGGTGAAGTGTGGGAGATGTAGGTATCCACCATTTCGGCCAGAAAATGGCACCATCTCTGAAATAGAGAGACCATGAAAGGCTGTCTTGGCCTGTCCCTCCCTTGGCCATCTAATGCAGAAGTGGTCTGGAGTAGGAGCCTGGGGAGCGATGTTGATCAAACCTGAGTCACAGTAGATTGGGTTCCTGCTTGCTCCTCCTGTCTTGAAAAGCAAAGCCACTCCACCATAGCCGTTTCATGGGTAATATAAGAGATTCCTTCTATGTTGGTTTGTTTTTTCTCGCCTGCATATCAGGTGGAGAGAGGATAGGAGAGGCTGCCTCTGACCCCTTGCCTTAGAAGAAAGCTCAAGTGTGCCATTAGCGCTGGGGTGGTGCCACAGTGCAAATAAGGGTAGAGATCAGTCTGGGGTGCCCAGGAGGTGTGGTTAAAAGCTCACATGCTGTCTGGCCCTTTCTGAAGCACTTTCAATCCTATCTGCAAGCACTCCTGGGGTAACTCGTATTGTCTGAGCAAATACACTCCAGTGGAGGGCTTTGTGGGCGAAGATTAATGGCCACCAGTATTCTTTTGTTTCCTGTGGTGGTAACTAAATTGCTTTATACTTATTGAAATAATGGCTTGCTTTCATGGAATGTACCTTTCCTTGTTACAGTTTAAAATATAAATGGATGACTTTTTTAAAAATGCTGAAGTTAATTAGGCTAGGAAAGACAGTATTTAATTTATGTAACACATGTGGCATATGGTTTAGTGTGTGGTTATTTGTAATATGATAAGAAAGTCAGGTGCAGGAAAGCAGACTTAGGCTACTTTATTGAATTAGTATGAATAATGGGAGTTTTAATTCAGTTACTATTATTTAAAGAATAAAGCAAGTAAATATCAAATTAACAAGGGACATTATTTTGTAGCCATATAATTCCTTCTTTTACATTCAAACTTAAATTCTTAAACATAAGACTTAAAAGTGCTTGGGAGAGAGAGAATATAGAAGTTTACAATTATCCAGTTTTCTTTTATTTATTTACTTATTTTAAAATATTTTTTCGTTATTGATTTTAGAGAGGGGAAGGGAGAGGGAGAGAGATAGAAACATTGAGAGAGAACATCAATTGTCTGCCTCCTGCATGGCCCCCACTGGGGATTGGGCCCACAACCCAGGCATGTGCTCTTACCGGGAATCGAACCCGTGACCTCTTGGTCACATGACAGTGAGTCATGTATATGGAGCCTATCAGCTGCAAGAATAAAAATTCTATAGCATACTTCCTAATGTAAGGCAAGCAGGTTGGTTCTTTTTATCCCTAGTGTGAAGAGAAGGCCATTCGGAGAAAAATGAAGATTGCCGAAAACATGTTAAGCTGTAGCAACTTTGTAGTTGACCCACAGCATGCACACTGGATAAATGTGTCCATGGACGTTTTTTGGAGGCGGGGGAAAGGGGGGTGTTCCATGGTGCTAGAGCGCTTGCTGCCCCGCTTCCCCCGGGCTAGCTCTTTACAAAACTCAGTTGACAGAGCGGAGAGGCCAGCGACTGGCAGGTGTACCGCGCGCCAGGTGAGCGCAGCCCAGATCCGGAAGGGAACGCTTCTTGCTCAACAGCGCCCTCTCCCGACAAAGGAGAACTCCTCGGCTCCAGAGCCCTGTTGTGCATCTCGAGAAATTGGAGGAAAGGCTTCAAGAAGGCCCTGCCCTGAATGGAGTCGCCCTCACCCATTTGGGAGCTATCTCCCTCCCCTGCATGGAAAAAATGACCTACAGCCTAAACCTTTGTTGACCTCTGTTCCATTTCCCTCCTGGAACTTGCCCGCCGTGCACAGGAGATGATTTCCTGATCGAATCTTCCAGGCTGCCCACCCCTTAGCTTTAGCCGAGTCAGAGGCATGTATATCTTTCCCCATTAGATTTAAACCGCCTGAACGGAGGGACTGTGTCGGACTCACAGCACTCTGGACATCACTGACAACAGTATGAGGAAGACGGTCTTATCAAATCTCTAAAATCGCTGTTGATATTAACCAATGCAGGTTACTTAGATTTTGTTTTTTTAAATTTCAGGATGCGACTTCAGAGGATCCTTGACTCTGTGTGTGTTTGTATGTGTCTGTCTTTACAGCTTGAGCCTGGGGGTGACCAACAAACTTCTGGATCAAAGGGGGCCTTTGGGTTTCAGCATCCCGTAAGGTAACATGACTTCACAGTAAGAAATACGTGATTTCCTCTTACTATAAGCATTAACACACTTTAGTTTTTTCTACTGCATACGTTTTCAACAAAGTGGAAAACAATTCAGTATTCTCCAATATTGTTTAGTTCCTATTATCCCAATGGACTTTAGGGATATTTAGTGGGATTTCTGCAATCCGTTCATTTATCCAGTCAGTGTTCCAGCTGCAAGTTGGAATTGGCCTGACTTTCCTTCATATCTTTTGTTTAATACCTCTTATTACATATTATGCCTTGTGTTAAATTGAATTAATGTGAGTTGTATAAGAATATCTATTTATTAGGTCTTGCTTCCGCCTCTCATTGGAGTATTTTTACCCTGTTTATCCTGGGAGACTAGAAGCTTTGATCAAACCCACAGATACTACGTGCTAGTGGGGACATTTAGAGCCCCTCAGACTGGTCAAAAAGTGACTTTTGAACAAGGGATTTTTTCCTACCATCCCTTTTGTCAGTGGTCTTGAATCCTCATGGGGTCACTGGGGAAATTTGAGAATACAAACGCTGGGTGGCTCCTCTGGGGGTTCTGACAGCCCTGTCCTGGGGAAAGGCCGAGGGGCTCCGCAGGTGATCCTGACATGCATTTGGTGAGACCACTACCTGTCAGGCCTTGCATGCACCCCCCGCACCACCTGCACCACCTGCCCCGGCCTGCCTCCTCTGGGCACTCTGCAACTGCTCCCCATTTCTAGATTTGGTGAACTGCAGTGACTGGTGAGGCATGTGTTGCAAACTGAATAAACTGTTTTATTACAGGAAATTTCAAGCATACAAAAGTGGAGAGACTAGTACAGTGAATCCCCATGTGCCCAGTACCAGCCTCAATAATCCTTAATGTTCTTTGGATCCGATCATGTTTGTCAACCGCTCCCAACTCTTTTTTCTTTTTAATTGTTGTTGGATTATTTTAAAGCAAATTCCAAACATCTCATGAATTCAAATTCACCTGTAAATTCTGGGGCCTCCCTGTATATGCAGTTTCACTTTCTAAGGTTTCAGTCTTTGCAGAAATACACAACTTACAAGTTTTAAATTGCACGTCCTTCTGAGTATCGTGCTGAAATCTCGTGTCTTCCTGCTTCACCCTGCCCAGGTTGTGAATCATCTCTTTGTCCAGTGGCTCCGCACTGTAGATGCTTCCCGACCAATAGTTACTTAGTATCCCTTTCAGTTATCAGATCAACTGTCGGGTTATCACAGTGCTTGTGTTCAAGCAACCCTTACTTTACTTAATAATGGCCCCAAAGCCATTCACATAACTTATTACAAAATATTGTTATAATTATTCTATTTTATTATTATTGTTAATCTCTTCCTGTGCCTAATTTAAACTTTATCATAGGTATGCATGTATAGGAAGAAGCATAGTATGTATAGGGTTTGGTACTATCTGAGGTTTCAAGCATCCACGGAGGGTCTTGGAACATACCCATCAAGTATAAGGTAGACTACAGGACTGCAGCATGACACCTGAGTTTGAACATGGCCAAACATTATGCTTATATCATTGTCATAGGCATATTCTATTTTTCTGTCTGTTGCAGTTTCTCAATTATTGACACTTTGTTTGGACTGGATCGTTCTTTGTTTTTGGAGGTTAGCGGCTGTCCTGGGGGCACTGTGGGATGTTAGCAGCATCCCTGCCCTCTACCTACTACATGCCAGTAGCTTCTCCTCAGTTGTGGCAACAAAAAAAGTGTCTGCAGACATTGCCATACACCCTCTCATGGTCAGGAATCACTGGGCTATCGGAAATCTTTGAGAAGGTTTTACATTTTCATGCACTATTTATAGCAAGGTGTTTTCTCTCTGCCTTTTGTCCCGTCCAAAAAGGGGGGACTTGCCCTGGCTGGTTTGGCTCAGCAGTTGGAGCATCGGCTTGAGGATCAATGAGTCATAGGTTCAATTCCTGTCAAGGGCCCATGTCTTGATTGCAGTTTGTCCCCAGCCATAGTCGGGACGTGCGGGAGGCAACCAATCGATGTGTCCCTCTCACATCAATGTTTCTCTCTTTCTCTCTCTTTCTCCCTCCTTCCTGCTCTATCTGACGATAATTAGAAAGATAACCTCCGGTGAGGATAAAAACAGTTTAGCAAATAATCAGTGAACAATTGATAATCCCTCTCAGTTCCTCAGAAGACCACCGGGGGAAATGCAAACATATTTGTGAAAGGTTCAAGGATAAGAGATTATGGAGAGAGTGAGGGGTATTTTATTTTATTTTTTAATCCTTACCCAAGGATATTTTTCCATTGATTTTTTTTTAGATACAGTAGAAGGAAGGGGGAGAGAGAGAGAGAGAGAAAAAAAAACACATTGATATGAGAGAGAAAGATACATGGATTGGTTGCCTCCTGCATGATCCCGACCAGGGCTGAGGATTGAACCTGCAACCCAGGTACAGGCCCTTGATGGGAACTCAAACTCATGACCCTTCAGTCTGAGGGCTGACACACTGCTGAGCCAAACCAGCCAGGGCGAGTGGGGAGTATTTTAAACACTTTCTATGTATAACTGGAATCCTAAATTTACCAAACCTGGATTTAAAGCTTCCAAATTTATATATTTATTTTCTTTCTTTTGAAAAAAAATACAGATATATTTATATTATCAAAAGGTCTTCAGAGAAGGGTCTTTCTTCCTTTCTCCTTCCCCTTTCTCTCTCTTCATCCTGGACAATAACCAGGGTGCCATTTTCTATTCTGAAAAAGCGAGGGACCCACTCCTACAGCTTCTCTGTGGCAACACCCAGAAAGATTGGCTGCTTCTCTTCTACCCAGGGTTTCAGAGTCTAGTTTCCTCTAGATCCCAAAGGGCTACAACATCCCCCAAGCTTGAGGGCCTCCCCGGCAAAGACCAGGGTGAGTCAAACCCTCATATGACCAGAGTGAGCTTCTTCGCTCGAAACTCAATGTTTTCGTTTTCTTTGACCTTCGTGAAAGCACACCCTTTTTCCTAAATTGATTTGCTCACTCAGATCACAGCTCGTTTCTGAACGAGTGTAGGGTTCCTTACCAGGTGCCACCCTCTGCCCCCAGTTGCGTTCTGGTGACTTTATACAAAACGCTGTGTGCTGTGAAGGCCAAATTAGAGAGGAAGGCGGGGAGTTTCCTGCTTCTAGGGAAAAAGGTCCTCTAGGTGGAGTTCAGGGCTGTTTCGAGTTGATTAATGCTGTATTTGTTTCTTAAATATTAGACTTTATTTACCCATTTCAAAGCGTCAAGAATATCTGCAGAGTTCTGGGGAAAAAGTGCTGGCCAGTTTCCCGGTTCAAGCCACGATTCACTTCTACAACGACGAATCCGATTCGGAGGATGGAGAGCACGAGGAAGAAACCCAGCTCCTTCCCCAGGAGGCGAAGGGACCGGTGGCAAATGGCCCGGGAGGAACAGGCAGAGACCGGCTGACACAGCCAGCACCAAGATCTGAAGGACACAGGGATCTGCGTCATCAGGGTCAGCTCCCACATGGTGACTCTCCCGGGGGTGCTGAGTGCTCCTCATCCAAATAAATGAGGTCTCCCTCCCCCGGGACCTGCCGCACATGCACTGGTGGAGACAGCTGTGCCTGGACACTGCATTTCCCCTGGTGTACAGGGGGTCGGGGGCTCCTCGGACTGTCTCTGGCCAGCACTCCACTCGTGGCAAGAACTCTCAGCTTTCACTTTTCCTTGTGGGACTCTTCAGGGCACTCATGCATACCACTGAGAAAGATTCTAGGACCAGAGGTTTGTGTCAACATTGGTTCTCATCAGGTAGGGCTGACTTCCGAAGCACATTCAGCCTGGTTATTCTGCCGGTCAAATGACAGCTACTCCAATGGAGATCAATAACCCACATACGCCTCTCACTTAGCCGGAGACTCGTTATTTAGCTCTTTGTGCTTTTATAAAAAGATACTGTCCAAAGGTTGATGTGGTTGCTTAGTGGCAGTCTGAAAAAATTTATTTATGAAAAACAAAACACAATAATTCCTGTAAGAATAACAGAGATACAAAGATACGAATTTTTAGGAGACAGTTCTGGATAAAAATGTTCATGATTGTTTTCTAAAGGTTATGTGTATGAATAGAGAGGGGAGCTTTGACTCTGAGTTGGGGACTGTTTTGGGCTTGTTACTTGAATAGACTAACATGGCTTTCAAAGTATTGAATGTAAAATTATTCTCACTGTTTTATATTTGAACGACCAAATGAGTGTATTTCTCAAGGTATTTTACTTAACTATCTTACATGTGATCATCTTTCTATATCCAGTACATCATAAGTTTCCACTTGAAATAAATATTTTGAAAAAAAAAAGTTTGATAATCATCTTTTTTGTTTAAGACATTTTTAGATTTAATTAGTTCCTACGTTAAAGTTTTTAAAAGTAGGGAAGTGTTGTCCAGTGTGGCTCAGTTGGTTGAGCGTTGTCCCGTGTACCAAAGGGTTGCTGGTTTGATTTCCCAGGAGGCAACCAACTGATCATGTTTCTGTCTCTCTCTCTCTTCTTCTCTCTCTAAAATCAATAAAAACAAGCCTTGGCCGGTTTGGCTCATCGTTTAGAGTGCTGGCCTACAGACCAATGGGTCATGAGTTCAATTCCCAGTCAAGGTACCTGGGTTGCAGGTTGTGTGGGAGGCAACCATTCAATGTGTTTCACATTGATGTTTCTCTCTCTCCCTCCCTTCTTTCCTCCCTTCCACTCTATCTAAAAATCAATGGAAAAAATTTCCTTGGGTGAGGATTAACAAAAAAAGAAAATGTGGGTAAAATCAATAAAAACATTTAAAATAAAAGAAATAAAGTTTTAAGAAGTTTATCAGCCCTGGCTGGTTTGGCTCAGTGGTAGAGCATCAGCCCACGGACCAATGAGTGTCGGGTTTGATTCCAGCCAAGAGCACCTACCTCATTGCGGTTTGTCCCCAGCCCTGGTCGGGGACCAGTCAATGTGTCTCTCACATCAATGTTTCTCTCTCTCTCTCTCCTCCTCTCTACCTGAAGATAAATAGAAAAAAAAAATCCTCAGGTGAGGACAAAAAAATAATAATAAAGTAAAAAGTTTATCAACATGTTTTTATATTTAACCCTTTATTTGTTTTATTTTTTTATTTATTGGGTTTTTAGAGGAAGGAAGAAGGAGAGAGAGATAGAAACATCGATGAGAAAGAACATTGATTGGCTACCTCCTGCATGCCCCCCACTGGGGATTGGGCCCACAACCTGGGCATGTGCCCTGACTGGGAATTGAACCGGCGACCTCTTGGTGCATGGGTCAACGCTCAACCACTGAGCCACAGCCACCGGGATATATTTAACTTTTTAAATGATATTTAATGTTGTTAAGAATACAGAAAAATGCCCAACCTGTGTGGATCAGTGGATTGAGCTTTGTCCCATGGACTGAGAGGTCCTAGTTCAATTCCTGGTCAGGGCACATGCCTGGGTTTTGGGCTTGATCCTTGGTTGGGGGCATGCAGAAGGCAGCCAATTGATGTTTCTATTTCTCTCTCTCTTTCTCTCTAGAAAATCAATAAAAATATATTTTAAAAAAATGTAGAAAAAGTATTAAAAAGGAAAACAAAATGGTCTACAACCTCAGTGCTCAAAGAATCCAATTAATATTAAAAGATAGCCCTAGCCGGTTTGGCTCAGCAGTTGGAGCATCAACCCTCAGACCAAAGAGTCATGGGTTCAACTCTGGTCAAGGGCACGTACCTCGGTTGTGGTTTGGTCCCCGGCCCTGGTTGGGATTATGCGGGAGGCAGCCAGTTGATGTGTATCTCCCACATCAATGTTTCTCTCTCTTTCTCTCTCTCCCTCCCTCCAACTCTTATCTGAAGATAAATGGGAAAATATCTTTGGGTGAGGATTAAAAAAAAAAAAATAGAAGGGATACAAGCAAATATTTTAACAACTCAAACAATGTAGAAAAAGAAACATTGCAGCCCGGCTGGTGTGGCTCAGTGGATTGAGCATTGTCCCTTGGACTGAGAGGTCCTAGTTTGATTCCTGGTCAGGCACATGCCCAGGTTGTGGGCCTGGTTCCCAGTGGGGGGCATGCAGGAGGTGGCCAATTGATGTTCTCTCTCATTGATGTTTCTATCTCCTTATCCCTTCTCTCTTTAAAATCAATAAAGAAAAATTTAAAAATAAAATAAAAACTTGCTAACTGGTATATTTATAACAATAACTTAGCCCAAAAAAGGTCAGAAAAAAATTAAAAACTTTTGTCCTGGCCAGTTTGGCTCAGCAGTTAGAGCGTCAGTCCACAGACCAAAGAGTCTTGGGTTTGATTCCGGTCAAGAGCACATACTTTGGTTTCAGTTTGGGCCCAGGCCCTGGCTCTGGTTGGGGTCCTGGGGGAGGCAACCAATCGATGTCTCTCTCTCTCTCCCTCTCTCCCTCCCACTCTATCTGAAGATAAATGGAAAAATATCCTCGAGTGAGGATTAAAAAAATAATAATAATAAATTAAAAATAAGTAAATAAAAATAAAGAACTTTTAAGTTTGACACTCCTAAGTGGTTTGCCAAAAGATAGCTGGCTAACTTCTGTTTAGTTCAAAAGACTGTCATGGTCACTCCTCATACAATGACCAAGGCTTGCAAAAGTTCCCCGTTGTAAAGGGCTTATTTTTATTAACTACATTATCTAACCTTTTTGAAGGGTCAGAAGGCTCATGTCCATCCTACAAAAACACAGAGAAGAGAGAGAAAACTGCTCCTTGAAAGTCTCATTTTATTGTCTTGTCACATGGACTTTACAAGCTGGAATTTCTCTTTAAAAATCTGATCTCTGGCAACGCTTGCCCGTGTTCCCATGGCGAACCAGTCAGCAGGACCTGAGCAGTGGCCGCCTCATTGGAGGTCCTTACACTCTTCAGTTCTCCCTGTCTCCACCTCCGGTTCCACACATTTACAAAAGAGAAGAAACAAAAGCCTCGATGATATTTTCTTTTTCTTTTTTTGCATTTATCTTCAGATAGACTGGGAGGGAGAGAGGGGGGAAGAAAGAGAGAAACATCGATGGGAGAGAGAGACACACTGACTGGTTGCCACCCACACGACCCCAACCAGGGCCGGGGACAAACTGCAACCGAGGTACGTGCCCTTAGGGGGAACCGAACCCGGGTCTCTCTGGTGCTCAGGCTGACACTCTAACTGCTGAGCCAAACTGACCAGGGTGATGATATTTTCCAAAACCTGCATTTCTCCTTCAATTTGTCCACTACAGTAGCTTGCCTAGTAATGCAGTGAGTAGATTTCATGCGAGATGCCAATTTCATACCTTTTCTCTGGAATGGTTAAAACTCTAATTCAAGCAGTCACTTCAGAAATGGTTACAGTTGGCCTAGGATCGATAAAATAGATGACTTTGAATAAGTCGATTATGGTTGAAGCCAACTTCTCTGACACATCTTTCTTTTAGGGGCTCACAAAATGGAGCTTCTTGTGAATTTGTGGAAACAGAATCTTGCCCATACCACAAGCGGAAACGTGCTCGAAACACTGGTACTTTCACCCAGCAGAATGGCAAACCTCCCACAGTGTGAATTTTTTTTCTTTATTGATTTTAGAAAGAGAGGAAGTGAGAAGGAGAGAGAGAGAGAAACATCGATGAGAGAGAACATCAATTGGCTGCCTCCTGCATGCCCCCCATGGGGGATCGGGCCCACAACCTGGGCATGTGTCCTGACCGGGAATAGAACCAGCAACCTCCTGGTGCATGGGTCGACGCTCAACCACTGAGTCACACTGGCTGGTTTGAATTTGTTGTAATATTTGTTTCTTCAAATCTCCCATTTTCACTGATTCTTCTGACGGATTTACTAGCAAAAGAATGCATTTCCATTTGTTACCATATTGTTTCCTGTTTGCTTATTTTATTTTTTAAAAAATACGTTTTATTTTTTAATCCTCAGCCAAGGATATTTTTCCACTGATTTTCAGATAGAGTGGGAGGAAAAGAGAGAGAGAAAAACATTGATTTGAGAGAGACACATTGACTCGTTGCCTCCTGCATGACCCCAACTAGGGCTGGGGATTGAACCACAATGGAGGTACATGCCCTTGACTGGAATCAAACCAGTGACTCTTTGGTCCAATACTTTAACCGCTGACCCAAACCAGCCAGTGCTACTTTCAGAGAGAGAGAGGAAGGGAGAGAGAGATAAAAACATTGATGTGAGAGAGAAACATTGACTGGCTGCCTCCTGCACGCCCCCTACTGGGGATCAAGCCCAAAACCCAGGCATGTGCCCTGACTGGGAATGGAACCTCTCAGTCCATGGGACAACGCTCAGTCCACTGAGCCACCTGGCCAGGCCTGTTCACTTATTTTAACTAGTTTTACTGCTGTGGGAAGAAAAAGTGTTTTCCCAGTGGCATGTTTCTTTTTGAATTTCTGTATTAAACAAGAAGTTGCAAAACAATCCACTAACTAGGTAACATTAAGTGTGGTAAAATTTTATAAAATACCCATTAAAAACTCCCATTTCCCTCTCCCCCGGGCGTCTGTCAATATATTTTCTGTCCACCTGCATTTTCCTATTCTGGATATTTCATACAAATGGAATTATACAACCTGTGGCCTCTTGTGTCTGGCTTCTTTTACATGGCATAATGTCTCCAAGGTTCATCTGTGTTGTAGCATGTATCAGTACTTCATTCCTTTTTATGGCTGAATAATATTCCACTCTATGGAGAGACCACATGTTATGAAAACAGCACCCAGATCAAAACACACCACCACCAGTCCCCTAGGATATCCATTCACTTGTGCTTCCTTCTGATCACTACCTTCCGGCACTATAGATTCCATTTGTGTGGTTTTGAACTTGATACCAAAGGGATCACAGTGCTCTTTTGTGTCTCGCTTCTCTCCTTAACATTAGTTTGTGAGACTCATTCACACTGTGTGTGCAGGTGTAGATGGTCATTCTCATTGCTGAATAGAACCCCAATTGTGTGAATGCACCATCATTCCTTTACCCCTTCTATTGATGCATATTTGGTTAGTTTCCAGTTTGACGCTATTGGGAATAAAACCTTTGACCTGGCCTGTATATGGCTATTGGTGGACATATGGGCCCATTTCCATTGTGTGTATGTTTAGGGATGAAGCAAAAGCACAATTTTTATGAGCCTGCCCTGAGTCTGGTTTCCTCCAGCCAGAAAATGATTTCAGAACTGGAAAGAGGGGGGCATAGACCAAGACATTCTGGAGGAGAAGAATGAGGTCACCAACAAGGTCATTCTTTTCCTTGAGATCTTTAAAAATGGGCTGGAGCTCAGAGGCGCTATGAGTGACCACAGTGGAATCTCTGTTCTCCCTGAACTGGGATTTTTGTAATGGGATCTAGGAGCTTATGGGAATGAATGTGAAACGAGACCTGGGACATTCAATCCCCTAAGATCTTGGAGAAGAAAGTCTAAGAATCCTTCTGCAGGTCCCAAGAAGTTTTCAGAAACTTAATAAGGTTTCCACCAAGCTCTTGAACTTGTCTCATCCCTTTACATACAGAGAAAATTTTATTGCAGAAAGAGTCAAGTCTGAGAACGGAGCCCAATTCCCACAAAATGTCCCCTTTCCAGCAATAAGCTTGGGCCCCTTCCCCGTTCCCCTGCCTCTGCAATTGGGCAGATCTGCTCACTGGGAATTACACCAACCGTGGACCACATGTCACTCCTCTTACCTATTTCTCATGCACATCCCTGCCGTGCTAATTCTATAGACTCTACTCAAGCTTTCCCATTACTTTATTTTGGACCTTGTATAGTCAACTGAACTCACAGAGGTTTCTTTTGTTTGTTCGAGCAATTTGTTTTTTTATCACCACTTTTTTCTGTGCTAGGAAGATATTTCTAAGCAAGAGAAAAACTGCCCTTACCAAACACCAGAGGGAGAATTTTCTACTTTCCTGCAGGGCATGAATCATATCTGCATGACTCATTTTTGTAGACTTACTGGTGAAAGACAAGGGCAAAAATAGGTACTCTTTTATGATAATCATAAAAATGATGGATGCTTATAAAAATAATTTGACTGCCTTAGAAGTTGCTGGGCAAATCTAAAATATAGTATTACTTCAATATTCCATTATATCATTACATAGTAATCTTTACAAGTAGATTTTACTTTATAGTTTCAGATATTTCATGAAAGATGCTCAACATCATTAGTCCTTATAGAAATGCAAATTAAAACCACAGTGAAATACTGTTATACACCTACTAGAATGGTTACAATTTTAAAAGATAGATAATAGCCAGGCCAGTGTGGCTCAGTGGATTGAGTGTCATCCCACAGACTGAAAGGTCCCAGTTCAATTCCCGGTCAGGGCACATGCCCAGGTTGTGGGCCTGATCCCCAGTGTGGGGCATGCAGGAGGTGGCCTATCAATGTTTCTATCTCTCTCTCTCCCTTCCTCTCTCTCTAAATAAATAATTAAAAAATAAAAGACAGATAATAAGGATTGGCAGGGATTTGGAGAAACCGGAATATCACTGGCTGTTTCATTAAGAAATTAAACATAAATTTACCATATGACCCAGCAAATCCACTCCTAGGAATCTACTCAGGAGAAATAAAAACATTTGTTCACAAAAAGACATAAACACAAATGTTCATTGTAGTTTAACTCATAATAACCCCACACTGGAAACAATCCAAATGGACATCAACTGGTGAATGGATTAATAAAACGTGGTCTATCCACGCAATGGGATATTCTTCAGCAATATAACAGGGTGAAATGAAGTATTATTACATGCTAAAACAAGAAAAGACCTTGAAAACAAGCTGAATGAAAGAAGCCAGAAGCAAGACTACATTACACGATTCCATTTGTATGAAATGTCAATAAAGACGGATAGCAACAGAAAGCAAAACAGCGGCTGCTTCGTGCTGGGAGTGGGAAAAGGGATTAACTGTCAATTGGCACAAGGAAACTTTTTGGGGTGATGGACATGTTCTAAAACTGGATAATGGTGATTGTCGCACAATTTTATAAGTTTACGATATCATTGACTCGTACAGTGCCAGTGGGTGAATATATAGTATATAAGTTACACCCCAATACAAGCTGTTTTACAAGCTTAAACTCTTCTATTAAAACAATATTTGTATCTTTTTCTTTAGTCACCGAGTCGCTACAGAAATAATACAATCTTTTTTTGGCACAACAAAAGTCAACATTTTAAAAGTAACCCAAAGGGAAAAGTTCCAAAGAAATCCTTTGGTTTCTTCCCCGACACTTAGTTTTTGACTCTCCCAGGTCCATCAAGGATCTGTCTTCTGCGCACTTGCCGTGACCTCTGAGCCATCCATCTAGCACATAGAGGTCCAGGTGTACTCTTAAGATGACGACTTCAGTGCCAAAGTAAGACCTGAAGGGAAGACCAATTGCTGTGAGCCAGTTCATCATTAGGCTTGACATTTCTGTGAGCATCTTAAATTACTCTCCGTCCCAAGATAATGTTAAACAATGTGGTAGGGCCAATGCCCAGGTTTGGGTTAGGTGTAAGGCTTCAGGCTTCAGTTATGCACAATACAAAAAAAAAAGGTCACCAACTGTCTTAATTGGGGGTCTCTCCAGATACATCAGGCACTGCATTGCAAATTCGGAAGTTTTAGATAGCTTTCCACAATATACTACTCCCTAATAATAGTTACAGCTGCCATTTAAAAGCATTCTAACAAATATATTCAAAAATACATTTCTTATCGACATACAGCAGATACAGAAAAGTGAGCAAATCATAAGAGCTTGATGAATTTTAAAAGATAACATACCCTTGTACACTCTAAACTAATATGATATTGCATGCTGATGACAGTTTAATTAAAAAAAATTGAGATAGAAAAAAGGTAATGCCTTTTTAAGAAAGGTTAACAAATAGATTGCCATCACCCCCAAAGCTCCTCTTGTGCCCCTCCCAGCTACCAAATTCACTCTCTTCCCCAAGGATAACCACTATTTTGACTTCTAATACCACAGATTCATTTTGCCCAATTTTGAACTTTATATAAATAAAATCATGTAGTTCGTGTTCATTTGTGTCTGGTTTCTTTTGTTCAGCCTGTGTACATAAGAGTCACTGACTGTTCTATAGTATTCTATTGTAGGAATATATTCCTATTTATTTTTCCATGCTATGGTTGATGGACATTTGGACTGTTTCCAATTTTTTTGGCCATTATGAAGAGCGCTGCTATGAACGTTTCTGAATGTGCCTTTTGTGCACATGTGTGTACATTTCTGTTGAGGAGATAACTAGGAGTGGTTGCTGGGTCACAGGTTATGTGTATGGTTAGCTTTAGTAGAAATCATTTTATTTTGCTAAAATCTAGAACGCCACTTGAAGTGATTTAGCAGTAAACATACCTAAATGCAGAAATTTCCTAAATACAAACACGCATTCATCCTTCTTCAGAGTTGACCTGTGCAAACACGGTCATAGGCAGGACAATTGAATATCAGTCACGGAGTTGCTGGAGTGTGATGTCTCACAAACACAACTTCTGAAGACACCATCTCCTGTGGTTTTGATGTGAACTTCCTGGCATTCATTCCTGCAAGCTGCCAGGGCCAAGTCTGGGTGAGCACGACTTGGCTTTGATCCAAAAGAAAGCATTATGTTTGTTCAATTTCCCCTACAGTCTGGAGGTGTATGTATGTATGTATGTATGTATGTATGAAGTCCAAGGTAATTACTACCACAGGATACCAGGCTGATTCTTCCAGGTCTGGACGGCACCTCTTGGCTGCTTCCCGAGGCTCTGTGGCTCTCTCCAGGGAAGGCTTCAGGCTCTTGCCTATAACCAGTTCTTCTGGGGAGGACATCGGTTCATAAACGACCCCATGTCATAGCCCATTTCTAACCTGCTACCTCGATATTTGAATTCAAGCCAGTGAACCCCGATTAAGCCCATGATGCTGTTTTTGTGACACAGGTGAATCTTAGAAATCCAGAGAGATCTAGAGGAAACTTGGCGGGGAGCGTCCACATCCATTTCACTCCCTGTACTGGACTGCTGTGCACCTGGGTTTGGAGAAACTGCCTCTGGAAATAAGGGGCTCTGGCTCCTTGCCTGCCCTTGGGAAGTCGAGGGGCTCACCAGAATTCCTGGGCTTTTACAACTCATTAAGCAGCCTGGCTGGTGTGGGTCAGTGGGTTGAGTGTCCTCCCATGGACTGAGAGGTCCCGGTTTGATTCCGGTCAGGGCACTTGTCCAGGTTTCGGGCTCAAACCCCAGTAGGGGGCGTGCAGAAGGCAGCTGCTTAATGTTTCTCACATCCATGTTTCTATCTCTCTCTCCCTCTCTCTCTAAAAAATCAATGAAAATATATTTAAAAAATTTTTTAAATTCATCAAGCAGTTATGGACCAGGCTGTAGGATGGTCTCAAATGTTTTCTTTCAACTTCTTTTTATCTGTCGTTGCTTGATCTTCACCATCTCTGAGTTACTTTGTTTGAATATAGAGGGAACAACTTCTGGAGGAGTCTATTGTGTTTCAATGGTAAGCAGTGACTGCATCTTTTATTTCTCTTCTGCCAAACCCTAGTGTCCCCAAGGGAGCAGCTGCCATCCTATCTGTCAGTATTAAGAGAATTTACCATTTGCTCTTAACTACCTGCTTTGGTTTGCTTTAAAAAATGCCACAATTGTTGACATTCTCATCCGCCAGCAGCAGAACAGAAATTATATTCCCCAAGCTCAGCTCAGATGGGCTTCCTGAATTCTATATCCCCTTGTATTATATATTTTCCATTTTAAAAATAACAAGTTTTCCATAAGTTATTTCTTGGGTAGAACACAACTACCTTTTATCAAAACATGAAAAATGTGACCAGCCCTGGCCGGTTTGGCTCAGTGGTTGGAGTGTCGGACTGTGGACCAGAGAGTCCCGGGTTCAGTTCCTGCTAGGGGCACATACCAAAAAAAAAGAAAAGTGTGACCAAATTCAGGAAGCTCATCTGAACCAGGAGAATGAACCTACTTGCTTAGGTTCATGCAATGGAAAGAAATTATTTGGATCCCATATTTTGGGATAGCTTAACATTTTGAAAGAATTATTTATTGCATAAGATACAATACAATGAATACAAATGCACTCAGCATCAGAAAGCTGGTTCAGCGATAAAGAGGAGGAGAAAGCTTTGCCCAGCTGGTGTGGCTCAGTGGTTGAGCATCGACCCATGCACCAAGAGGTCGCCGATTCGATTCCCAGACAGGGCACATGTCCAGGTTGTGGGCCAGATCCTCAGTGGGGGCATGCAGGAGGCGGTCAATTGATGTTTTCTCTCATCGATCTTTCTATCTCTCTCTTTAAATCAATAAAGGAAAATCCAAGGTAATTATTAGCACAGAATACCAGGCTAATTCTTCCAGGTCCTCTAGACTTTTATGTGAATGGAATCATAATATGTGGACTTTTGTAATTGGCTTCATTCACGTAGAATACTGTTTTCAAGGTTCATCCAGGTTGTAGCATGTACACCTACTTCATTCCTTTTTATGGCTGAATACTATTCCACTGAGTGGGTAAACCCATTTTGCTTATCTACTTATTCATTCATGAACATCTGGGTGTTTCTCTCAATAGCTTCTTAAAGTTCATCCTAGCCTTGCCATCCTGTTATTCTCCAACATGAAACCATCCCTTCCCAGAGTGGCAGAGACTCAACAAGAGGACCTTAAATGGGATCTATGACGGCATGCTTATTTGGCTTTTTCCAAATAAAAGCATTCTGTCCCAACATGCAAGCCTCCCTCTTCCATTTTCTCCTCTGCGCTCTCTTTTAACTATATTTATTTATTTGTTTTAAAAAATCCTTACCTGAGAATATGTTTTTATTGACTTTTAGAGAGTAAGGAAGAGAGAGAGAGAGAGAAACATTGATGTGAGAAACATCTATCAGTTGCCTCTTGTACACACCCCAACTGGGGATCGAACCCGAAACCCAGGTATGTGCCCTGACCAGGAATCAAACCCACAACATTTTGGTGTATGGGATGACATTCCAACCAAATGAGCCACTCCGCCAGGGCTGATAGGTCTTTTAAATGAAAATAATATAGGTCCTGGCCAGTTTTGCTCAGTGGTTGGAGCATCAGCCCCAAAATTCTCAGGTTTGACTCCAGTTAAGGGCATGTATCTTGGCTGCGGTTTGTCCCTAGCCCTGGTTGGGGTTATGTGGGAAGCAGCTAATTGATGTATCTCTCACATTGATGTTTCTCTCTCTCTCTGTCTCTCTCCCTCCCACTCTATCTGAAGATAAATGGGAAAATATATTTTTTAAAATCCTCACCAAGGATATTTTTCTGTTTATCTTCAGATAGAGTGGGAGGGAGGGAGAGAGAGAGGAACAAAAATGTGAGAGAGACACATCACCTGGTTGCCTCTTGCATGACCCCAACCAGGGCCATGGACGAACCACAACCAAGGTACATGCCCTTGACCGGAATCAAACCTGAGACTCCTTGGTCTGCAGGCTGACACTCTAACTGCTGAGCCAAACTGGCCAGGGCTGAGGATTTAAAATAAATGAAATAAGTAAGTAAGTAAATAAATAAATAAATAAAATAGGAGATGCATAGATTTCCTTAATCAACCATGAAAATGAGCACAGTTGTGTCTTCTGCACAAAGGGAAGGGCGTGAAGCTCGCGTTGCTTCCTTTGCTGATTACTTTACTAACCCGAAGTGCTTTCTGGATGATCTGACCTCCGCCAAGCACGTTACTTGAGAGAGACCATCGCAATGCGCTTTTTTGTCTTTATCTCACACATTCAACAAAATATTTAAAAAGTGGCAAGGAGATAACAGTAGATACAGTAAAAATAACAACAAAAAATTCAAAATAGTTTCTAAATAGTCAAGGCCCCAGGGATCAGGGCTGTGCCTTTTTATTTTATTTATTATTACTATTCTTATTATTATTATCATCATCATTATTTATTCCTCACCTGAGGATGAGGACACATTTTATTTTTATTTATTTATCATCAGATAGAGTGGGATGGAGGGAGGGAGGGAGAGAGACAGAGACAGAGAGAAACATCGATGTGATAGAACCACATTGACCGGTTGCCTCCTGCACAGGCCGGGGACGAACTGCAACCAAGGTACGTGCCCTTGACAGAAATTGAACCCGCGACTCATTGGTCCGTGGGCCAATGCTCTAACCACTGAGCAAAACCGGCTAGGGTTTTAAAAATCATAGTCTGCCTTGGTTGTTATTTAGAGTGTAATCCTTCAAAATTCAGGTCCAAATAAAATATTGTTTTGTATTAGTCAAAGAAGTACTGTGAATTAATCCTACTGGTAGTGATATCTAAGCTCACACTAGTTTTTTGCTTGCAACTTCTCCAGAAAGGACAGA